CCGCCGGGACCTGCCGCCGCCGCCGCCGCCGCCCGGGATGGGGGGCTCGGCCGCGCCCTGGCGGGGGCTGGTGGCGCTGGGGCTCAGGCTGCTCTTCCTTGTGCCCGCAGGAGTGCCCGTGCGCAGCGGAGATGCCGCCTTCCCCAAGGCCATGGACAACGTGACGGTGCGACAAGGGGAGAGCGCCACGCTCAGGTAGGAGCCGCCGCGCGTCGCGCGTGTCCCTCGCCCCGCGGAGCTGCCCCTGCCGAGCCCCCCGGCGCTCTCCTGCTCCGCCGGGACTTCCTGGCACCCAAGCGGGCGGGGGCGCCCTCAGACAACTCGTGCCCGCGGGTTTTGTCTTCGGTGGCAGTTTCTGCCCCTGCCCCTGCCCCAGCCCCAGCCCGCGCTGCGCCTCCCTGCCTCGAGCCTGGCACGGCCCGCAGCGGAGAGCCGCCGCGCCTCCCTGCCAGGGCAGAGGGATGACACAGGCAGGCGAAGCGTGTCGTGTCCTCCCTCCGCTGCCACCCCCGGAGCAGGCGAGAGCCCGCTGCTGTGGCCGTGGCCGGCGCGCGGGTGCTGCGTCGGCTCTGTCTGGAGAGGTGCTTGTGCTTTGGGGATCCAGAGCCGGTTTCTAGCTCTGCGGATGACCCCCCGGTAGATGGTAGCTGCGTGATTTGCAAAGTTCAGAGCAAAAGGAGATAATGAGATCGGCTTCTGAGAGGGGCAACCAGGTACCTGGGGCTTTTGAAGGGAGCGTCAGCCCAGTCTCCAGCACACTTCTTGCCTTTCATCTCCCTAATATGTGGGCAGGGGGGTTCACTGGAAGAGCTGGACGCCTCCCACCCACTCGTTCAGCCTGGTAAAAGCAAGGAACCGCACAGAGCAGTGCTGCTGCTTTTCAAAGCTCGTTGCCCAACATTAGCTAATGAGCACGCAAATCCCTGCTGGGAGGAAGGAGAGCGCAGAGCAGACCGGCGCCCCGGAGCAGAGCATCAGTGCTCCCAGCCAGTGTTGCCAGCCGGTTTGTGTGAACTGCTCCTGACGCCCCTTCTGAAGCCCGGTCCTGCTCCCCATCCAGTGGTGCCCAGCCTCTGCAGCTCCCCATTTGTCCTCCATCCAATTTAAGGCCTAGTTGTGTCCTGCCAGAGCTCAGCGGTAGTGGTTACCACTTGAGAATAAGGGGCACAAATGGGTCAGTGCCCAGCTTGGATCGTGGAGGCTGGCTGGGTCGTTCAGAGCACTTTCCCGGCTCTCAAGTCCTGCACCGTTAGTCGGGCTGCTCCAGCAGGGAGACGGAGACAAACCTGGCTCCTTTGGGGTGCGTTTGCTAAACCAGTCAGTGCAGGGGTGGTCAGCCCGCGGCACGTGTGCTGCAAGGGCGTGGGCAGCCTGTGTGTGTATACATGGGAGATGGGGGAGAGGACGGCCAGCACAGTGGCAGGTAGGGCAGGGAGCAGAAAGCAGAGCAGCACATCAGGCAGGGGAGGAGATCCGAGCGGCACTTGGGAAGGCACAGGGACAAAAAGGGCCCCGCTGGCTTAGCAGGTGCAGCCCCTGAGCTCTGATGTCCGCGGTGGTGAATGGGGCTGGCCCCACGCCGTCCCTTCGGTGTCCCAGGGTGCACTGCAGATTTGTGCCAGCAGAGGGCCAGCTTTGATCTACTTTGTCACTTTTGGGGCCGTTTCTGGGCTGCTGGAGCCTGCCGCGCAGTGCCTGGCTGGGCAAACGGGAATGCTTGCCAAGCCGCCGGCCCCAGAGCTGTCGGGTGTCTGAACCTTCCCGCAGGAAACTTTTCACTCTCCAGCAGAACTGTTCCCTGCCTTCTCCCGGTAGCAGGACTCTTGGGGAAAAAGCCCCCCCCAGAACTGCAGTCTCATGGTTCCTGTCTCCCCGGAGTATCCCCTCCCTGCGTCTCAACCCTGCTACGTGGCTTCCCTCCCACACCCCTCTCTTTCCTTTGCCCTTCAATTTTAGCATGGCCTGTTCATTCCCCACCCTGCTTTCACCTTGGTTGCCCTCCGTCTGCCCCTCAGTTCTGTTCTTCCCCTCTCTAACTTCCGTGCCACCACTGTTTCCTCACCGTTTCCATCTTCTCTCCCCTCTTCCTCTCCTCCTTCCCCCGTTACACCCTCTCCACTCCTCCTCCTTCTGTCCTTATTGCAGGCTTTCCCCTAGCCCTGGTGTGCTGCGGGCATCACCGTGTGCTCAGCTGCAGGGTTGATGCTTGACTCTCTCTGTGCCTTTCCACGGCAGCTCCCTGTCAGGCCATGGTGGGCTGCTTCCAGCCTGCCCCGTTTCCACATGGCATTGACAGGCCCCCTCTTAAGTGTCTGTTTGGTCCTTGGGTGCCTGCCCTGGCATGCAGAGAGATGGTCAAGGCACTGCTGCAGACTCGGTGCCTCCCAGCACGGAGCACTGACAGTATGACACCCCCAGCATGAGTCAGCTGAACCCTCCAGGCCTCTCCCAGAATGGTTCAGATAACAGGGAGTAAGCGCAAAGCCCCAAGAAGTTTTCAAAGCAAGAGTATTGCCGCCTTTGATGTCTGTTGTGCTGCTCTGTCCTGCCCAGGAGGCTGGCATGGCTGCTGTTTAAAGGAAAAAAATAACAGCCCTCCCTGGTCTGAGCTGTCTCCTTGGAGCTGAGCGAGCTCCACCACGGGTCTGAACTCCGCTATTCGGAGGATGGCAGTGCCTTCACTGTTCAAACCAGCTGTTGTCACTCAGCTCAGCGCTCTGAGATGGACATATGCAACTCACCCATGAAGGGAATCTTCTGCTTCCCTTGAATAGGTGCCACGGCAGTTGTAAGTCAGCAAAGGCAGCCCTTCAGCGGGCGGTGGGATTCTGCAGGGCTGGGGTGCATCAGGGATGGAGCTGATTCTGCACTGTCCTGGGAGAAACTATGCATCTAGGACAGAGCTGCTGTGGATTTGCTGTGGCCACGGGCAGCAGGCTGTAGTCTCCAGCAAGAGACAGTGAACCAAGAATGGACGTGCAAAGATTCTCAGTGGCAGCTTTGCAGTACCCTGCAGGGACAGGCTGTATTGGTATGCAGGGGATGGTGATGTGTGACAGCACCTTGCAACAGGCTGCAGTATCCTGTAGGGTGACGGCATGTTGGGATAATGATTTTCGAACTCTCTTTCCTTCAAGAGCAGGAAAGCTGTAACTCTTCTCCGCCCTTAAAACTGACCAGTCTTGCTGCATTTTGCCCTGATTTTGGCTTGCAGTGGGTCTCTGGTGTAAGAGATGCAGGGTACACGCCCAGGCTGGGGAAGGAGGTAGCTGTGTCAGCTTCCCTCTGTTATGCCTTTGGGAGATCTGCTCTTCAACCGACAAGCTTGAGAGTTCATTTTACAGTCATTGGGGATGTGTAGGGCTCCCCAGCCGGTTTACAAACAAAGAACCTAGATCCTCAAAGATCCTGGATGCAAAGATCCAAAGATCCAAAGAGCTCTTTGCATCCCTAGAATTTGTAGCAATCCCTTTTACCCAGAGGGACACGGCCCTCCCCACTTTGTAAATGGAAATGCATCAGGGTCAGACCCAGAAAGGTCCTGCACACCTGCATCTTCCCACTGATTTTAATAAGGCTCATCACCTTTTATGATAAAGTCTCTGAAACATGTATGGTGTGGGGATTAAATTAATATCCAGAATGAGATCTGAAACAGGGAGCAGAGCTCTGTGTTTTACAGGGAGAATAAAACAAGGATCCTCTCCAAGCAGACAGTAGCTAGCCCCAGCCTCAGCAGTTTCGCTTCTCAGGATGTCTCTCTGCCTCTTCTTCCAAGAGAGCCCTTGCCTCATCGTCATCTTTGCAGACACAAAGCCTCCCTCTCCTGGCAAGCTGCAGGGTCACATTCCAGCTGTAGTAAACCTGTTCTGATATTTTGGATGGAGACTGGTGATGGCACCTTACTTTCTACCATAAGAACCAACAGTTCTCATAATGCATTTAACTACCTTTCAACTCAGAGCAACCCAAAATCAGCCAGTCTATCTGTCTATTTATAGAGAGAATGCTGATATTGAGGAAAATATTAAAGTAAAATAAGAATTTGGATATATAGTCAACCGCATGGTATTACTTAGGCTGCCAGGCAACCAACCTTTTCTAACAGACATTGGCATAGTTCATAAAACAGCAGCTGCCGAAATTTTCAAGCCTTCATAGTTTTATCTGCATTTAAGAAAGAGTAGCTGATTTTTGTGCATAGTGGAGAGGCAGGGTGTTTGGGTTCCCTTCCCGGTGCAGCTGATGACTTGTGATCAGAACTCGGGGCACTTCATCTACTGCTCAGTGGGCACATCTACATGTGCAATGAATGTGCCTGAATTTTCCGCGAAGAAAATTAACCTGTGCCTCTGCACACATCTGAATTAGACTAAACTACTGGACAGAAATTGCTGTACACGTGTAGCTGGTGATGGTTTACTCCACATTAGATTAATATGCAGTAAAGCATCTTGTGTAGACACACCCAGTGCCTCCATTTCCACATCAGTCAAATGGGAATAGCAACACCTGTTTCACGGGGAAGCTGTGAGAAGCAACTTGCCCGTGTTTATGAAGTGGTCTGAGATCCATCTGTGAGAAATCTTATATCTAAAATAGAAACACAACTGCATTTTCCCTGTATTGAAAAAAGTTTAGAAGTAACGTGCCCCCATTCACGTCAACCCAAACCTCACCCACCCCCAGGTCCATCACCAGTAGAAAAGAAAAGAAAAATGAACAGCAAAATCGTGCTAATTCACACAGAAGACTTTGTGATTCACTGAATTTTGCCAATTAGTGAGTATGTGAACAAACCCAATTAAAATAAAAAGCCAGAATAAAACATCATGAGATGTTGTTCCTTCATTTATTTTTGCAATTATAGTTTTAATTATTTCTGACAATGCTTCATTGTTTTTTACAATAATCTACCGCAGTCTATTTCCTAGCATATGATGAGGCCCTGGCAATATAAGACTGCTGCAAGGAGGCAGTAGCAGCCAGCAAATTTGGGCACTGGTCTGAGAGTCAAGAGATGGGACTTATTGTAGTGTCTGCCATTGACCTTTTGAGTTGCCCCGGACAAGTAACAGCCCTGCTCTGTGCCTCAGTTTCCCCATCTGCTGAATGGGGATAATAGCACTCATTCACCACTGAGCTCTATAGCTGAAAGCGCCAGAGAGAAGCAAATTATTGTAGCTACGTCTCTG